CTAATCAATAAATTTGATGATATACAGTTTCAAATGTTTTTTTCAAATTCTTATCTATTTCTTATCTATTTCTTATCTATTCATATAAGAAAAATCCAATAAGGCTCCTTTTCTGCTAATGGCTTTCAAATAAATATTAAATGACATTCCTTAACCTATTTGTCAAAACCTTAACTTGGCATGTTCTGTTCAATATTAACAAATAAAATTTCATATAAGTGATTGACATTAGACTATATGCATTATAAATATTTAATTTATATTTTTATTTAGAATTTTTCTTTTTACCTTTAAAAATTATTTATAAAAAGGCATTCACCCAGCGAACGAACTGGAAATGCTAAACTAAAATTATGGTCGTCACATTTTTGATTCGCACTAACGCACGAACGGACATTTTGCGGTTTATCGGTGCGGTTTACTAAAACGGTTTTCATATTGGCAGTTATGTGTATGTGGTCGCTTCCGTTTCCGTGTTATTCCATAATATATACAACAGTTGAACTATTGTACAGAGCGCTATTGAAAGGAAACAAAAACAATGAATTAGCCACAAACGTAAGACACGATATGTTGTGTGTGTTCAAATTTAAGAAATTATAAAAAATAAAAATATAAATTATATCGTCCACATGAAAGTATCTAAAAACCGCAAACGGATATCAGTTGGACAGCCTTCCATAATGGAGTGAAGTAGACATTTCGTATTATATAATTTTTGTTAAAATATTATCAATTCTTTATGTAAAATATTAAATGGAAAATATTTATTATGGGAAAATATGGTTGAGGTGCATGTGCAACTCAACTTCGTTTTTATGATTTTTATTTGAAGTTTAAGGTGTTAGGATAATATTTACATGTACAAGAAAGCGTTTTGAATGTTTTGGAAATTTAAATACATATTTAATAATATATAGTTTTAGTTATGAAGTCCTTAAGGTCAACCAACACCCTGTATAATTTCAATGTAATTATGTTAAACACATTTTTTTTAAAATTTACGGGTATCAATACCAAAACCTTCTTCTACGAAAGAAGTTTACTTGTATATGAAACAGGTTAATTTGTTATTACCTTTAAGATTAGTATAATATATAAAAATAATAATATAACTCTATGTTATAATATAATAATAATAATAAGTCTAATTAACCTTTTTAATGCAATGATTAAGTTAACATCACTAAATAATTTTTTTTCTTTACATGTTTTAAGTACTAAATACATATTGTAAATTTATATATTTATTACCAATATAAATTTCAATAGCTTTCTTTAGATTTTTGAATAGATTTTATGGTATATATGTAGTATATATTTAATAATATTTTTATTTTCGCAGACATCTATTAAAAATTTCAAGTGTGTGTATAAAATTAATTACTCAACACTATTTGCTAATTAAGATTGTTAAATTTGCAATATTCATAAATCAATGAAATAACAAAAATTTTTGCTTTGTACCATAAATAATATTTTATAATTATTTATGTACTCAACCACTAAAATGCTTGTATCAATATCTTAAGTTCAAGTTAAAGATGAATGTAGTAATATTGACGAGGACTTACGATTTTTGAATAGTAAATATTAGTAAACGTGACGACCTCACGGTTTGCAGTTACTAGATATATATAGATAATGAATATAGAAAATATGCTTTTTAAAAATTTGCTCACCATTATTGGTTTTCTAAAAGTTAAGTTGGAATAAGGCAATACAACTATTTCTAGGCCAGCCGATTTGACGATGGATTTAAGTAAATTCGCCTAACGGATTATACTTTTTCCATCAGGTTATGTGTCAACATACTTTAATTTTCTAGATAGCGTAGAGTAAAAATTTTTTTACAATAGGCATCTTTACTTAAATTCGATGTCAAATCGAAGCGCCACAGAAATAAGAATCCTGCCAGAGTAAGTTTATTTTTCATTCTCTGATGGAGTATAGTTAATATATTTTAAAATGCTGTGCAGTCAATTCTTATTATTCTTTATTTTTAATTTTTTTTAATTAAAATTTTAAAAACAGTTTTAAATTTTTTTTTATTTTAATTTTGCATGTTTATCATTTATCTGGAGTCTTTACATAGTTCTTTCTAATTTTTTGTGTATATATATATAGTACGTGTTTCTTTATAAATACTTAAATATTAGTTTTCTAGTCCTTACAGCCTATATAATGTCTGAATTATTTAATAAACGGTTGGATGTAGAACTCAAGGTTTTAAAACTATTTAAATTAAATAGTTCAATGTGAAGAGACTACTTATTTCGAATATCAAAGGTGTGAATCTAAAACAGAAGTTTCTAAGAAACTGAACTTCACACATTTTCCGATTATTATGTATTTAACATGAGTATGCATATACATACGTATGAGTAACTGTTACCAACATACGTAGGCAAGCACAACAATGATATGCAACGTGCAAAGCAATATTCATCGACAAGTACTAAGAAATTACACAAATAACTTTTGTTTAGATTTGAGTAAAAAAATAATAAAAAAATGGACTTATTAGAATATTGCAGATTTTGAGTATTTAGATATGATATTGTGTTTATTGTTGATATTCTTGTTTAGGTCTTTTGTTAGATTTCTATGCTCAAATATCAATAAGGTGCAGTATGAAATATCTTTATATGAGTCAAACTTTATGAGTTTAGTATTAATTGTGTATAACATATTCAATATATACAAAAGTTTTAATTAGAGTGTGAATAAAGACGAAACTTAGATTTTAATAAAATAAATAGTCATATATGTAATTACTTAATTAAATCTTTTTGCTTTTCTGAAAAAAAAACAATGGTAACGTTTCTTAAAAAATCCTGTGTATTTATATTTCTTTATTATATTTATTATCTAATTTAAAATTTAAAATAATATTAATTAGAAGCATCATTTTTATAACAATTTGTTCAGTGCATGACATTTTATGTGTTACCATATATGTTATTTATGTGGGATGGTTGGTTTCGGTAGATAGATAAGATGAAAGATATAAATTTATAAAAATGCATTTGGTATATAATTATTTCATATAATCATGCATTCAATTCACCATTCAAAACAATGCTTCATATATAACTACTCATTTGGCGGTCTCTTAATTATTATTGAATATATTAAACGTAGTTTACAGACAAGTATAAACGTTGTTTAGAAATTCCTATAATACTAGCGTATTAAAAAAATATCAATCATAAGTTTAAATATATTGAAATATAGTGTCTTTACTATATTAATAAAAGTATAAAAGTTTTAAAATTCATTTAAACAGGATTTATACTGAAATCGGTTCCATAAGCATTTTAAATTAAAATGCACTGTTGCCATAGGTTATAACAATAAAATACTAAGTAAAAATTTAAAGTATTATTAAATGTTTATACTTTCTTAGTAAAATAATATATAATAAAATATTTCGTTAGATTTTTTATGACTTTTTTAAAAACACACTCCAAGCACGCAAACTATATTTTATGATTTGTTTATATATTTAATTATCATTGAAAGTAGTAAATTGTGTATGTCGGCACTTTGCTTGTGAATATGAATATTATAGAGAGAATATTGCCAGGGGAATTTCAAACAGTATTTCTTTTTAAAGCCAATTTATTATATCATAAGTACTATTCAATAAATTATTTGAAAAGAAAAACCCATATAAATGTTAATTTTTGATTTTTTTTCACTCTAAACTTAGATCATGAAAATTAAGTAGTTGAAAGCTACTGAAAGCAAATTGCATTCCAAAGTAAATAAAACTTTTTAAAATATTTTTATCGAAGTTAAAATATAAAAATAAAATCATAAGATGAAATGTGTTTTATTAAAATATTTTATTATTATTAAATATTAAATCATTTTAAAAAGTATAGTAGTTCGAGGCATTTTGGTATGGTAGTATTTTGGTAGGCAGGTCTTATTAGTTTACCTTTTGATTTGTTTTCATTGAGATCTTGAATACAAGGATCGAGTACCATATCTAGAAACCTCCCGTAATTAAAGATACATGAAGACAGTATAAAAACAAGACATATTCTTTGACATGATCAAATTGTGTTTGTGAGACTCATTGAAACGGAAAATGTGATACTGAAAAGCATAGTCCATCAAATTTTCGCAGAAGATTTTGACTAACGTAAGGTCTGTGTGTGCTCTGACAGATGACTAAAAAGACAGAGATCTCTATAACTAAGACATTTAAAATATGTTCGTTAATAATGTCAGCATTATTAACTGGTAAAGAAAAGTGCTGTTTTGAGTATGAAACGAAAACAAAACATCAGTTACTAGAAGCCCCAAGTTAGAGAAAATTAGAATTTCAGAAGAGCAAAATCAAGACAATTCGACTGGTTTTTTTCAATTCAAAGAAAATTGTTCCCAGTGAATTCATACCAGAAGGCTAAACTGTAGCTCTGTAATCGAATATAGTGATATAATAATGCATCATGGTAAAAAACTGGAATTTCTAACAAATTTTCTATACTTTTGCTATCATAACTATCATTTTTACCCAAAATTTTTTTTTTGGTTAAAAATCAACCGCATAACCGAAATTTTCCTGTTGAAATTTATTCCAAAGTCTCATCAGAATTAAAAAAGATTCTGTATGTATATATTTAAAGCATTTAATAGTCAAATGCCAACTCTAGACTGAACTCTGCAAGTGGTGCTTCAAAGATGTAAGCGCTAATAGAGAAGAATATGGTTTCACCAACTTAAAATATGATAAGACGATAGACTTTAATGAAAGATCTATCCGTAGCGTCAGTAATTAAATATTAATTAAAAATTAAACTTACAAATTAAATAATGCTATAATAATAAATAACTTTAAACACCCATACACTTTTCTTTTAAAAATCAAGAAACAAGAACTTTATAAATTCTATAACTTTATATATATAAACTATTCAAAATTATATACATATATAAAAATATTTAAACTTTATCAGTAATATTAATATTATATTTTATATTTACAGTTACGGTGGCATACGTGGAGGATATCAACATTTTGGACCACAAGGTGGACAAGACTCTGGTTTTCCAAGTCCACGTAGTGCACTAGGTTATCCATTCCCGCCCATGCATCAAAATTCATATTCCGGCTATCATTTGGGTAGTTATGCGCCGCCATGTGCAAGTCCACCAAAGGATGGTAAGTATAAAAAAAAAAATAAAAAAAAAATGACAAATGAAATGCTATATATATTGTTTAATCAATAATACAATAAAGTAAAAATTGTGTTTGCAAGAATCAAAACACAGCAATTGTCACATTCCAATGACCAATTGACCTTTTTCCCGTATCTTTATCTAAACTATTGAACATGTTATTTAGGAACAATAATGGCGCTTATGTGTCACGTGAGATGTTTTCTAACCGAAAAATACCACAAAAAGTACAAAAGCGATTTTTATCAGCAATTCGTCCTGGTGTGCATGTGTAGGGACTCAGGACAGAACGCTGTTGTTGTTCTTTTTATTATCGCAGTGAGGTTGATCGATGGTTGGTTATGAACTGTGGGTAGTCTTGTTGACATTTTGGGCTCTGACGAATGGGTTTTTCTGTTTTTTATATTGGAAAAATATTGTTGTGCTAATCGTTTTGTTAATCGTGCTAATATTTAGTTTAGTTAAAATATTCGCCATCATTATAAGGCTATAGAAATGAATATTTTATGAAATAGTACTTTTTATTGATTTGCAGTTTGATATGTTTTATTTATTAAATGAGTTTATACTGCCAATTTTTTAATTCTTTGATAAAATAAGTTAAAGATACTTTAACGAAAACTCTAATACATAAGTAACTACTTACAAAATAAATAGAAACTAAATATTTAACAGATATTAATTGAACTTGTAATATACGTGTCTATACTCAAAAAAAAAATTTAGTTGAATTAATAAAATTTTAACTAAATCTGAAGACAAGATATTCTTACTCGACGGTATCATATTTACGACGGTTTAACTACACTACACAACATATTGGTATTTATATCTTCTTTAGCACATGAGCTAAAATTTTTCTAACAAAATGATCAGGTCAATTTAACTAGTATGTGGTTAGAGTATATTTTTCTGAGTGTACTGATAACCTACTGATAACATTTTGACAGCATACTAGACTAATTAAGATATAAGATATATAAGATATAGCTTTTGGGATCACATTTTTTTTTTATTCTAAAGGACTATGTTTTGCTTTTGTGTTCTCTTTCCTAATAAATAGTAAATATATATTATATAAAGTGTTTGTTAATATTAGACCAAAATTTTGATACCCTAGAAGACTATGCACTGAATTGCTGCTCTTTTTCCTACTAAAGGATTATCATATATGTAGTTTTTCAATTTTAGAGCCAGATTTCTTCGTATTCCCTACCCTGGTAAAGGATTATTATAGATATAATTTTTTTACTAATTAAATAAATGTTTAAATTTTTTTGTTTTGTATTTTAATAGAATGCATTTTAATTCTACTGATCGATTCATTTTTTTCCAAAAAAAGAAAAGACTATTGTGGTGACATAATTGCGCGCTTGACTGTGACATTTTTCCAAAGTGAAATATTTCTTTATATTCAACTTTTTTAGGTTTTATGGTTGAGTAGTTTTTAGTTTGAAATTAGAAAAAAAAAATTACTCAACGATTTTGTGGTTATAAATGTATACACCAACGCCACTGACGAGTTCATAGTCGTGCCATAATTAACCTTGATTTTATTTCCAAATATTTTGCATATAACAAAAAAACTTTTTTCTTTACTTTCATTTATTAAAATTTATATCTTTTTGTATCAATTGAGATATTAAGTACGAAGATACTTATTCAAATTACTGCGCCACTGTGCTACTAAGGCAAGTCAACAAAATCTATCAATGTAATATAAATAATTTTTAGTTTTTTTATAAAATTTTTTATATAAAAAAAATAATAATAATTTTTTATTATTATTACTAGGCATATGATAATTTATATACAAAATTACACAACTTTTGCCATAAAAATATAAAACAAAAATATTTATCGCAGACATAAATCTTTTCAAAGTTTTTTTATAAAATATTAATTATACAATATATATATTTTCAGCAAAAAGTATATATATACATATATATATGAAATATATATACATTTAACAAAAAGTGTATATTAATAAAATATATTTCATTAAACGTGGCTTTTGAACTGTAAGTTATATTTCAGTACTGACAAACAACTGACGTCAAACCCTAAGTAGTGGGAAAAATTTTTTTATATTAATTCTTTATCGTGATTGATAATGTGATTTTTTTTGTATCTAATGCTTTTCAAAATAATTTATTTCAAACAAAATATTTTCGAAATTTTCCAAACGCAGATATTTTTTAGCTGAAAGCCGATATACATATATAAAAATTTCTAAGAATTCAAGAGTCGATAATTTTAATTATCAATTATCGAATTTGATTACTCGTCATAGAACCCAAAAACTCTAATAACAAACTGGACTATAAGATACGAACAAGTGTTTTTTATGTCTTTGCCTCGATAAAGCGACTGTAGAATTGAGTAACATCTTAAACTCTAAACATTTAAGACCAAGAATGCAAGAGATCTAAAGCAAGTACGCAGGGCATCTAAAGCAAATAAGATGAAATGTCTTTTACAAATAATAGTAAATTAGAAGATAGACAAATTTGTAACAGTTAATAAATTTATGCAGCTGTGGTTTATGTATTAGTTTTTATTATTATTATTATAGATAGACTGTGCATTAACTCCGACCTGAAAAACCTTTTGAGTAGCCTTTCATTCAACTAGCTCAATTCCAAACTTGCCACGGCTGGACAGGCACATAAAACGTACTCTGCAGTTTCATCTTGCTTTTGACAGAATCGGCAGGAATCGTTTTCTGCTAGCCCAATCTTTTTCAGTTGGTATCGCAATCTACAGTGACTTGTTAGCAGTTCCGTGTACATTTTGATATCTGTTCTGCTTAAGTTTAAAACAGCTTCAGCCGTTATATGTTAGGAGGAATTAAGCCGTTTTGACTGTCTCATGCCTTTTTGAGCTCTCCAGAAGTGTGTTACGTTTTGTTTTATATATTATGTTAGTTATAAAAATAGTGCAAGTAGATATTAGCTTTGTGTGTTAACATGCAAATCTATGGTTGTAATATAACTGGGGTTAATTCTGGAAATTTGCAGTACAAAAAGTTATACACGAACAATTAAACCAATAGATGTTTGCAAAGGCTAGGGGTCTATGAATGAATATCTGCTTGGGTCAGCCCAAGAATTGATTCGGTTAGAAACGAAATTTTTGCACTATTATTCCCACTTAAAATAAACATACAAATAAATTTTATTTTATTAGTTTAATTTATTACTACAATATATTTATAATTTTAATTTCATTCTACCAATTAATGGTTATTAAACTTTAAAAGCTACTTTTTATAGTTTTATATGAGTGTATGCAATATCAAGTTAAGAATTATTTCCATTTCTGTTCCATCATTAATCAAAAGATACAAATTGCAAGAAATAAGATAAACTAATGTGGGAGGATATTTGTTTATATTTTTTTTATTCGATCGAAAGTATATACGCTTGTGTGCCTACGAACATTGTCATTATTTATTAATTTTGTAAAATATAATGTCAATTTAAATGTGACTACTTTGCCTGCTTTACAATCACTGTAATTTCAATATCACTTATAATTAAAAGTTATATATGAGGCTCAGTGCTCGTAATGATGCTATTCATTTATCAATTTATTTTATGAATGAAATGTCTAAAACTATGGGGGGTGCATTCTATTTTATTTATTGTAATTGCTGCTAATATTATTGCTGTTGCTCGGCAGGGAAACTATCAACAAATAACTAATTAAATGGAAGCAAAATATAATTTATACAAAAGAACTTGATATATGGGCAAGATTGTGTGAAATAATTTATATTGTAAATTACACAATGACAATTTAAAGATTTTTTTTTTAGATTTATAATAAACAAATTGTATATGGTATATTTTAGGTATTTATTCTTTATAAATAAAATATAATGATACTAATGATAATAAAGTAATTCATTCTGCTTTATGATATATGATAATATTTGGGTTTTTTAATTGCAATAAATCGTATTTACGTACTTGTATCTATATTGGTCGCGTTCAGTAATGTTTGCAAGCCAGCCTGATTAGTAGTTTTCTGTCATCAATTGCCAGTATTGAGTTATATTAAATCATTCATCAAATTATAGATGAATTTTTGCTTTTTCCACTATCACGTTCTGAATGTTATTCTGCATGTTTCACTATCAAGTACTGAATGTTAAGCCTTTCTATCCAAAGTATTTTGCCGAATCGTATGATATGATTCAACCAGCCAAGCAGTTGTCTTTTAATTTGCTTAACTATAACAATATTAGAGTGTATATAAGTCATAATTTCTTCTAACTTGATACTTGAGGCTAAATTGGTATGCAGTCTGCAGTAGACTCTACATAAATTATCTGTGAACCACCCTAGTACTCTTCTTATTAGATGCTCTCTCCTAATAATGAGTTGTTTTCTAAAGGGTTTTTCATGATACGTACATTCCTGATATCACTTTGTGTTTGTTGCACGGGATTTTCAAAACAACGGTTTTTCAACAATTGTACGCATGCTTATTGTCAAGTCTAGACATATACACATTAGATAAGAGCTTTTGATAATTCTAGCTCCTCTCTTTACAAAGACCATTAAGATAATCAATTAGAACTCTACGCCTTCAAGACAACTACGCAATATATGAGATCTTGATAATTTATGCTCTTCTCTATACAAGGACCGTTAAGATCATCAATTGGAACTCACTCTACGTCTTCAAGATCTTCAAAACAATGTTATTTTCAACAATTGTAGCATTGCTTCTTACCAAGTGTGGAACTCTGCACAATAGAAAAGCGCTTGATAATTCGTGGTCTTCTCTATACAAAGACACAAAGACTGTTAAGATAGGCAGTTAAAACTCCAAGAATTTGTGCATGCCTGCCTATGAAGCAGTCATTGCTTACAAGAGAAAAAATACTACCTACTCTTAAAGAGATAATCATATATTTCGATTCTAAGTTAGAAAGTTTATTAGTTCTAGTTGGTTTTATTGATAGCCAGATTTTTCAATCTTGGCATGAGTTCTCTCATTTTTCGACATCATTTGTAAAGAGAGGTTACAGGCTGATTATTAGATAATAACTAATATTTAATATTTATTAATTAATAATAAATTATTTTTTTGAAAAGAGTGTCAAAACTCAGTAAAGAATTCCTTAGCAAAAGCATTCTATATAATCATATACTATTTAATTTATTGATTATTGTTAAAAATATGCACAAATACTTTAAGGAATTTTATGTACTTATTAAACTTTGTTTTAAATAACAGCGGTTTATTTACATTTATATATATGTAGTCGTATGTTTAGATATGCGATATATTCAGACATTGAATATACAAATTACATTTTTATAAATTTTATTACCGCATCTAGCCTAGTAATTTGCTTAGTGCTCAGTGCCCATGCGTATTTCGTCAGTAATTATAATTGCAGTAATTACACTTTCGTTTGTTGTAATTAATTACTCTGTGTCATTGTGTTTGAGCTCTGTTCATTTTTGTTATATTGTTTATTTTTACCCTTGATTGTTTACAGTCTAGGACCTATGTATTAAAATACATATAGATTATTTATACATACATGTATGGTATATAGTAGTATCCTTGCATATCTGAAAAACTGCTTGCCAAGTAAGCAAGGTATCGTCTATTTTTGGTATAAAATTGTTATATACTAATGTATGTATTTATGTGTTGTATTTGTTGCTTGTGTAGTATTACTATTTTTCTATGAATTAAGTTTGCAGATACTATATTTGCCTATTAATGGTTGGTAGCGATGTACGAGTGTATGTTTGTGTCTGTAAGTTTGTATTTAAATACTCTGTTGTGGGTAAAATTGATTGCAATTTGAAGTGCTTTGAACTTTGCGTTAATTAATGTAATTAAAGTGTCTTTACGTTTAAATACTTTTATTCACAGTTCATTGTTTATATATATTAAATATAATTTATTGATTCGTTGTGACTTTGAAAGTGGAAGACATATATACTTTTAACGCTCATACATTTATGAGCGTTAACATTAAATGCTTGGAATCAGTCATGAAACTATACAATATTTTGAAAGCAACAGGTTCAGTAACAATTAAAAAGGTTTAATTAAACTTTAAAGTTTAATTACTGCGCAGAACTTAAAATAAAATAAATTTTTTATATAGATTACATTGAGTTGACGTATTTTATTTTGATGAAATATTGATACATATTAAATAGTCTCGTAAATGGTTGTATAATGTGCACTACTTAATACGTAATTATATTATAAAAGACTAAGTTATGAATATTCATAAGTGTTTTGAACTATCGTATTTGATCTATCTATCACATATTGTTAGAATGAAATATGAGGAAAAGTTATTAGATATTTGTAATTAACCTTTGGAAAGCATTCCATAATAAAGAACTTCCTTATTTAATTCAGATTTTAAGAAAGTTTTTTTTTTTAAATTAAAAAATTTTTTAATCACTTCAGAAAATCTAAATTTTTTTTTTAACAGATTTTTCCATTTCCGACAAATGTGAGGAATCTGGTTTACGCGTCAATGGTAAAGGCAAGAAAATGCGAAAACCTAGAACGATTTATAGTTCACTGCAGTTACAGCAATTAAATCGACGGTTTCAGCGCACCCAATACTTAGCATTGCCGGAACGCGCAGAATTGGCAGCGAGTTTGGGTTTAACTCAAACACAGGTGAGTGATTTCGATTTAATTAAGGCTTGAATATATGTATTATTGACCGAATAGTTTAAGTCTTTCTAAGAATACAATAATTAATAGCTGCATATTGAACAACTTTTATTCATATCTCCATAAATAGTTGAACTACCAAATTGCATTTTATCGTTTACATCCTGTATTTATTATTGTATGGCTTTTGGATTTTAAACCCAAAGGTCAAGACTCTTAACAATTATATTGCGAAATATTTCTTTATCAATATTTAAGCAAATGATTGTCACTCATATTCATCGAATATACCAGTTAGCATAAAAGTGATATTTCTATGAGTTACTAGAACACTATTAATTAAGCTTATCCAAAATATTATTTATGGTCAATTAAATTTTATAATTATGTTGGGGCTAGTTGAGTCAGTGCACTTGAGCACACAACAAACAAAAAAAATTGCGGATGAACTAGTAAGTATCCTCACAGAAGGAAAAAAAATCTTTAACAAGATTTCACCAAATCAGATAAAATATCTAAGGAAAGTAGGCAAAGATCTGTAAGATCTAAGATATTCGAGCAATGGAACAATGGGGTCTTATATGACAACTAATGATCAAAAAAACTAATTAATTGATCTTGCTTAACAAAATCGTCTTGAAAAATACCTATAGTGATAAAAAAAACTTTGCTCAATTTATATTCAATTTCTTCTACAACAAATTTAAAACTTAAAGAATTTGATGATTATTTTTCAACGACATATACCTCTATTAAAAATTTGGGAAAATCAATGTGAAAGACCTACATACATATTAATATTATTAATTTTTTACTGACCTATATTTCACAAATTTTCTGGCAATTAAGACTTACCATACAAACAGCGTTTAATGAAGTTGCTTTAATCAATTAAATTTCTGGCCTGGTACAATTTTCTGTCTGAAACAATTGAGTCAATGGGAAAAATTTTCAAGTATTTTGAAGGCCATTGTCCCGCATAAATCCTAAGTTGCTTTTAATTAAATATTTGCATTGAGGGGAGAGGGATTGTGGTATTGTGTAGTGAACTTCAGTTGATATGCAAATAGAACCGCAATGTCAGGATGTTCTGGTATGTACTAGTGAGAGTGCAATGTTCGAAGTACTCGCACTCCAACAATCAATGAACGACTTCCGTTTTTTTATTGCTCGAAAACTTAAAGGCGGATTTAATTAGCACAAGAAAGTTTCTAGTACGCAAACCAACAGCAATGAAATGTGAAATCGTTTATTCCACGGACTTCAGAAATCCAATAGTGTATCTCATAAGTAGTGAGTGTGTTTATCGTTCTATTTAAAAGTACATAAATAAACAAAAACATTCTTTAAGTTAAAATAAATGTTAAGAGGCATTAAACAAAAGTGAAACACACGTGCATTTAAACAATTTACTTCGACAGAGTAATCTGAAGTGAAAAATAACAGTTACACCCTTTTGTGAACTCATAAATTAATTTTGGTACCCTCTTGTAAATTAACCCTTGCACGCCTCAGGGCATACAATGAGACATAAAAACAATAAATGCGGCCAAAGTGCTTGTATACGGTAAAAATAAAAAATTAAGATAGAGCAAACTTTTTTTTATAACTTTTTACTATATTTTTACTTAAATACTTCCAGCTCTATTGATTGAAAAAACTCGCTACTTGAAGCCCCCTTACTCTTACTATAAGTTAACTTGAGGCCGCTCGCTTAAGCCAACAAAACTGCCATTATTTATTGCAGTTTTATTAGATAAATACATTGGTATTGAGTTAAGCGAGTTTGTTGGTTTGTTGGTTTGTTGGATTGTTTATCTGTTGTTTGACTTACTCGTTATGGCAAAGGGGGTGTGTCAAATTTGGTTTTGCAGCTTATTTTTATGTCTTTATGTATTACACAAAACCCAGAAAATAAAATTTATAAAAACAACTAAAAATACTTATTTCACATTCTGTGGCTGAACTCATTTGCAAAATGTTGTCTAGTCTTGTTACCAAATGTTCGCGTTTAGGCCACGATTGACAGCTGCCTGTTTAAGAATAAACCGAAAGCCTTTTAACATTGTTCAACGCCTGCGGTTACTTGCTTGCATGCAAATATGCAATTGGTTTTGCCTTCATTGTCGTTATGCAAAAGGCTGGATCTTAAACGCATATGACATTCAAAACCACCGAGTAATGGAAAATATCAAAAAACTGCGCTTAAGTGAGTGCAATATATTGAGAATATGTGTAGTTATATCACAAATACATGTGATGTTATATGGTAATATATGAGAATTCAGATATACAAGTCATATATACATTTTTTATAAATTTTATTAAATCAGTTTTATCAAAATAATATATGATATAATATAATATACTAGCTGTTATATCAAAATAGCATTTTTAACAGCTAGTATGAATATTACAGCATAAATTTTTTTGTAGATAGTTAACATAAGCACAGCATCGTATGTCACTAACGCATAACGATTCAGTAACATTTTCGAAACTTTGATTTTAGTTACTAATAAAACATTAGTTTTTGCAATAATATAGAATATTTTCCAAAATTGAACAAATTAGTTGTGTTATAGTTAGATCGAAATACAGATCGGTACTTGAACAAAGTATAATATGATTGGAACACAAACATATAAACCAAATAATCAATTGTTAAAGAAAGTCTGAAATATCTTCTTTGTTTCTAACCAGTTCTATGTTTAAGCATTCTAAATTAATTGTACAACCTACCCAAGCAAATAATCGATTACTTTACCAAAGAAACCTTGAAATATCCTTTTCGTTTCTATTCGATTTTTGTAAAAACACGATTAAAATTGCTTGATTTTACTTATTTTGGGAACTCAATTTCTTCCATGATACTATCACACTATCTATTAGATCACTTAGATCGCGTTCAAAAACTCTAAGTTATATTAATTAAACGTATTATAGTGTAAAAAAATGCTTAAATATATGTATTTACTTTTATTTTTAATGTTATTTCGAAAATGATGAAGAATTTTAGTCAGCAACAGAAATTGTCTTTAAAAAGCACCTCAGGCTTTATTATATATTTAATATGGTTCTTAACGTTTTGAGTTTTATACACAATGGGTCAATAAGCCTCAGAGCCTATTGTTATAACAGTCATACGACAAATTGTCACCGTGTTTCTACATTCTTTTTGGGCATGACCTAAAGGAACATTATAGAGAGAGTAATATTGTCAATTTCTATTTTTATTACTATTTTGGTACGTTTTGTATGGATATGTAAGCATATTCATAAATAAATACACATATTCATTCCTAATAGGTCCAAATTCTAGCATATATTATTGAGTGATACTGTTCTGACTAAAGTGATGAACAACACACCCCGACCGTAACCGAATTTAAATCGAAATTTCTCTGTTTCTTAATTTAAAAATTTATATTGAGAATAATAGGTTATACCGCCGATCCCAAGGGGACTCACTTAGTTGAAAATAATAACAGTTTTAAATTTGACATGACCACGATTTTCTCTTCCTTAGCTCCCTTAGTAGTTCCTTTGATTCACAATAGTAACTTTATCTAACTCAAACTCAGAGTATTTCGAGTATTTAAATATTTTATTCATGACAGCTACATTCAACGATCGTTCCTATTTTAGCTTACATATATTATTTTCTATTATTAACATTGGCTTATGAGAGCAAGGATATGAATTTACTCTTACTTATCATATATTCACATTGGTAAATACATCATTTATAATATTGTAATATTTATTACAATATTGTAGATGCAGACTTAATTATATTACATATGTATATATATATATATTTGACATTATATTATATATGGCAAAATTATTTATTATTAATTTTATAAAATAATATAGATTAAATTTTAAGATATTATTTTTAACTCTTATAAAAATGTTAGTTAATTCAAATACATTTAAAACAGTTTAAAAGATTTTGTTATGATCAGAAGTCAAGAAAGTCATATATATTTTTGATAAACATTATAAAAAAAATTAAATTAACGATATATTATATTTACTATAAATTGGAAAGTAATTTTTAGAAACTGTTGATATGCCTGTGTGAAGAAAGTATTTTAATTCTCAGTAGAAGAATTTTAACAGGCCATATATCTTTCCGATCATAGTTTGGTTTTACGAAATTTAGAATATGAAATGATAAGTTATTTATATTATAAACAAAATTATATATTATAAACAAAATATTGACTACATTTCATTCGATTTAAGTAGAAATTTACTCGTGTGTACAACTTAATATGTAAATTGTTTAATTCATTTAACATATGTTATAAGTAATTTTCAGTTGCTTGATTGAATCAATAAGCCCTTATAAATAGTGTAGTGCTCCAAATAATGAAATAAAATTAAATGAATACTTAAAACACTTTAAACTGCAACACCCACACATTATACATACGAAAAAAAGTCCATTCAAAATAAAATAATAAATGAAAAACAAGTTTAAAGTGTACTTGATATAAAAATTATATTCGAAAACAAATACATTTGTTACTATATCTACAACACCCCCTCTCTGAACGTACCGGTGTAGCGTGCTCGTGAAATATAGTATGTATTATCAGATACACACACGTTTTTAACTGCAGATACTTTTTCACTTATTTGTATGTTGAAACTTGTGGCACACTAATTCAATTAGGAAGCCCACGCCCACTATCAATAAATTTTATAAACAAGACTTGCTTTTCTTGACTTGACGTATGGTGACTCTCAGTACTTTTATTCTCTTCGTTTGCTATTTATTAGTATAGTAAAAAGATTGATTCTTATGACTATGTGAAGTTTGAAAAATACCATTTTAATATAGCAAGAACTTCGCTTCACATACCATATATAGTACTTCTTATCATTCAGATTCAAGTTAAGTTTTCATTTTCATTTTAAGTGATGCTGTTATTAACATTGGCATTTACATAAATTATTGCCTGCTATTAACATGTGTAGTGCGTTTATTATAGTGATATCTATGAGATAGTAAAAGTGAA